AAGCTCTGTCAATTTGCTCTCCCTCACTCTCTTGATCAATCTGGTTAGAGGAATACCTTTGCTTGATATAAAGATAAAAAGAAATGGCAGCGAGAACTTAAAGCAAGACAAAAGGGATACAAGAGATATAATAGCATCCCTGACTTTTCCATTCTACAATTGGTAGACCTGAAATAGAAAACAATTGACAGTAAGATTTTACCTGTGTCCTAATTTATGTGATACTCCTTCCTTTTTAGACATTCTCCAAAAAAGTATCTTTCCATATTTAGTAACAATTTAACTTCAAATTTCTTATTTTACTTTATAGCCACAAAGGTTCTATAACTTACTTTATACCACTAGGTTCAAAATTCTTTCTTTTCTCTTAAACTCTGTGCCCAGTCTTGGTCAATAGTTCTATGTTTGTGGCCATATTATATATTAGTTGAGCCGTTTCTTATTTGATTTGACAATTGCAGTAGCTACTTAGAGGAAAACACTTATTTAATAACACACTGATGAACTCCGCCCATGTGGTGATAGATTTTGTTGGCAAGTTCTGGAGCCAAAGGAGTATTGCAATACCTTCAGTCTATAGCGTAATTAGGGATATTATGCATTGTGCATCTTGTGCTCGCTATGCAGCTTCTTATGCTATGGTGTAATGACACTCCAGGCTATTTCTATGTTTATGCCTTCTTTCCGTCATTTAAAGCGTTCCTGTAGCGACCACAAGTCATATATGACTTCCTGGGCACTGATTGTTCAGTCGCAAGGTCGTTCGTTTGGGTTTTATGCCTGTTTTCCTATTTTGGAGCTTTAGAAACTTGAAAAGTTTCTTTCAGTCATAACCTCAGGTAAACAACCTCAGATGGGAATTCTTACGGTTGCATCAGCTCCGTAGCAGTAAAATTAGGCTAGTAACATGGTTGACAAGTGTCTCAAGGCTTTCGGAGTGACTTTAGGGCTATTTGGTGCTTTAGCCTTCGAATTTTGGCTTAAGTTTGACTTTGGTCAACATTCTTGGTAAACGCACTCGGATGAGAATTCCGTAAGCGTGGCTAGTTCCGAAATGCCGAGTTTGTTCCTTTTCGACTCTTTGCGCTCTTGTCGTGGCTTCTGATCTTATTCTTTAGCCCATTGTGAAAATTGCCTGAAAATCAAATCTGGGTGTGGGGCCCACTTTTTATCGAAATTACCTCGTATAAAAATTTTGGCTGCGCCATTGAGTCTAGAATGTCAAATTTAGTGGGGTAGCATATATGGTTTATTTTCATTGAGTCCGGAACGAATTCCAAGGGTCCGTTCTGAGACTTTTTTTTAAAAAAATAGCAAAATCTAGTGTTACTGGTGCAGACCTTAAGCGACCAGAATTTAGTCTTTTGGCGACAAGAATTATATTTTAGCGACCATAACTGCTTCTATTTATTTCGCAAAAAATAAGATTCAGCCTCATTTTGAAACTTCGATATCTCGAGTTCTAGAGCTCCATTTTGGGTGATTTTGTAACATCCTGGAAACTAGTAGGCTAAACTAGAGCTTAACATGAGGGTTAGTGTCGTGAATGTAACTCCCTGTACTTAAAATAAAGTGTTTTTGTGTTAGAACGTCAATGTAAGCCTCCTCAAGGACTACCCATGGTTCCTTGATGAGGACCAAGAAAAACTGCCCAAGACCAGTGACCATGGCACGACCTACGCCCCATGGGTGGAGGTCTCGTGGATGGGCCAATAATCTCTGACCATGAACCACGCCTAACCAGGAGGGGCCGTGGTTCCATACACGGTTTGTATGTCATGGGTTTGTGGTTTAGGCCTGGAAACTGATTTTTGGCGGTTAAGTTTAGGGGCACTTTCAGGTTTTCCGGTTTTAATTAATATTAAGTGGTGTTGTTTTAGCCTAATTTAGATCACCGATATAAGGATTTAAACCCCCTAAACTAAGTCATCCAAGTCATTAATTCTAAATCACCAAAAAGAACTCAATTCCTTCTCAAATATTCTCTCTCTAGAACTTCAAGGAAGAAGAAGAAGGAAGTTGGAGCTAGGGTTCAAGGAGCAAGGTTTTCTACTCAAATTCATTGGATTTCATTGATAAGGTATGGTATCTCTTCATCCATGGATAGTGTTGTTAATTAATGTGGAAACCCAGAAAAAGAACAAAGGAAAACTTAAGAATAATGAAAGATTAGAACTATAAAGCAATGAAGAACAAGAAAGAAGAGATAACTTTATTTGATAATTCAGTCATTTCTCACTGCCTAAGACTTACACTTATAATAAAGAACTAACTTCATGGTCCTAAAAAATCAGCAACACATCTGCTGAAGATAAACAAACTCCTAGAGACTAGGTAAAAAAGTTATTGAGGAAAACTAAGCTAATTTACTGCAGTAAAATAAATAAAAGGCTGCAGTCCTAAAACATAGCAACTAACACTACCTCCTTGGTTTAGGAACTGCTGATTCCTAGTTTTTCTCTGAAAAACTCAAACTTGCCGAGGGAAAGGGGCTTGGTGAAAAATGTCAGCAACCTGCTCATCACTCTTGCAGTAAAGAAGCTTCACATCTCCATGTTTCTGCACGTCTCTTAAGAAAAACAACTTAATATTGAAATGCTTCGTTTTTGAATTAAAAACTGGATTATTAGCAGTAGAAATTGCAGCTTGGTTATCAATAAAAACCTCAGTCCCTTCTTTTTGCTCCATATTCAGATCACACATAATTTTCCTCAACCATAGTGCTTGATTCACAGCTGCTGTTGCAGCAATAAATTCTGCCTCGGCTGTTGATTGTGCTACTATATCTTGTTTCTTGGAATACCAAGAGAAAGCTCCTGACCCAAGATTGAAACAGAAACCTGAAGTACTCTTCATATCAGGTGCACCACCCCAATCACTATCGGAGTATCCGTTAAGTCTAAACTTCTGAATGTCTAACAGGTTGGAGAGCATAAAAAAAGAACTGTTGTGATGTCATTGTCAAAACTTTTGAATGAGCTGAAGCTTTTTTGATGCAGTCCTAAAACGTAGCAACTAACAGGGAAGTAGCTGTGATTACCTGCAAGACAGAGTATACCTATGGAAGCATTGGGTCCCCACCGGATATTCCAAGTAATTTAACTCTGTAGATCTTTTTTACATGCTGCAAGCATCTCTTGTTATGAAATCCCTGATAGTACCCTCGATGCGATTGACACCGTACATTGATATATTTATGAAAAATTAAACAACTAAGTTGAACATATATTAAACTCCAATTCATAACTATGGGAGTATGATAAGCTTAGTTCTAAGAACTTCAGGTTAAAGCCATTAAATTTAAATCTTGGATTTGTCTAAGTTATGAGGTTTTAACTGAAGAGGAGAATTTGTGCTCCTCCTGATCCCATCATTCTTAAGTACTTTATTAAGAAAGGGGAGAAAAAACAACAATGGTTCGAGCTGGGCGGGACAGTGTTCTTTATGATAATCTAATTGCTGAGTTTGAAACATCTTAATATAGGGAAACCCTTGTTTTCGAGGTGGAGCTGGTGGCTTGTAGACCACGTAAAGGTTCTAGTTGTCAATTTTGCTGAATGAGTTCTCTCAAATGAGAGTTCTTCCATTAAATAGAAAGAATTCTGATTTACATGCCTAAAAATCTGCTATATATCCCTAAATATATGTTATTCCTAATTGTAATATCTCTGAAAATATGTTACATTAATTTATGTTATCTCCTATCATCATTACACAAATATTTAGAGTTATAACATAGATATGTACAGATATTTAGAATCT